TGGCATCGCTACTAGGAGCAAGGACGCTACTAGGGGCTCCTGGCCTTGCTACTCGGAACAAGAAGCTACTAGGGGCTCCTGGCATCTCTACTAGGAGCAAGGACGCTACTAGGGGCTCCTGGCCTTACTGCTAGGAACAACAAGCTACTAGGGATGGTTAGATGCCGCTCCACTGATCCCTGTCTATCTAGGCCTCTTGAGTCACTTGGGCCTCGTACGGGCATGCGACATTCATGTCGTACCCATCACATATATTGTGTGTGTCTGTGTTTGTGTACGCCGTGGACTCATTGTAGGCTTCTTCGGAGTTAGTTGCTTCACCATGCTTTACCAACAATCGTTCAGCAGGGGGCGTGCGGCCATCACGCAAACGCATGCCAACAAAGATATGCACGATGGTGGAAACCCGTTTTGATCAACCTGGGGCCGGCCTGCATTTCTTGTGACGCTGGGTAACTACGCTCCACTCTAAGCCTCGGAGGCGGCTTCAGGTTTGGTGAGGCCGTGCTGCAATAAAGGGCTAGTGAAAATGAGTTCTGCAGACTTGTACTCGCCGTTCGATCCGTATCGAAATTGCCGCAGGAACTTCTTGTTCCTTTTGCATGTGGAGGGGGTTGGGCACTACTGGAAATGATTTGTTTTACTCAAGCAAGTTTGCCCCATAGGCGACTTCAGGGCAAACCGCACGGTCAGACTGTACGTACTTTATCTTCAGTGTGTCTCTCTTCGGAGATCGTGCTACTGAAACTAGTTTGCTATCTTCGTTTTGTTCCGTGGCGGTTTCGCGCAGCGCGTGGCACGTGCACGCCAACATTTGCAGATCTGTGTGCTGTGCTCTCTGTTGTAAAGTCCAACCGTTTTGCCTTGGCTCTTCATGCAAACATGTTTCCACCTTCACATGTTGCTTCTCACTTTATATTTAATTTCATTTATAATATTTAATTATATATATACATAATAGCGCTAATAATGTAGCGCTTTTAAATTAAAACCATTTCATTGACTTTGGGGGTCTCCTGTTGGATCCTGTTGGTTAGTGCCTTGAGAATCCGTGAGAAATGTGGAAATGCACAATCATTACACAATTGACGGTAGGAACTTCAACAAACGCAAGAAGAGTAATGCCCTGGACAAACTAGTTTTTCCGTGTTTTTGGTTTGATCCTGCTTCTAATTTCGAGTGGCAGTCGTTGTAGCGGCCTAACCCCATTTGCAAACCACCTAAGCCAATTTCGAGACAGTGAACGACGACGACCTCATTGTGCTGCTTGATGCTTTCGACGTTTTCCCCAACGGCTTTGATGGCCACGTGGGAGGGCTCAGCGTTATCCTGGCTGGTGGATGGAGTTGCGGAAGAGAGGCAGGAATCGAATTATGGACCCAAGGTCTCGACCCTTAGTCTTTGACATGGTTGGAATTGTATACGTCTACTTGCGACTTTGGCTGTCACAAGTCATACAGTAAGTCATAAGCAAGTACTCAGCATTGGACAAAACAGACGTATGTGCAAGGGCCATGGACCAGGGTGCCTAAATTCCTTTGCAACGAATGCTCTAGTCAAGTGGTGCCCTGTGCAGCAAGTCAAAGGTCGGCCAACGGAGGGCGTGGTCCTCTTGTGTTATATAATTGAACAAGGGTCAAAACCCGCCTAGTTGTGACATGAAAGATTCTTGTCATAAAGCTTTCTCGCGTAAGCCAACGACTGAGTCGCGTAACCGTAAGCTCGCATAAGCAGATTTTTCATAACATGTTGCGTAAGGAAAGTTGAACAAGTTGAAACCCATGTTTGGAATGATTAGTTGCAGTCGGTTGTACTTGTTTCAAGAGCCAATCTGTTGCTCTTTTGTTGGTGAGCCTATCAAGATGCAGGGCACAGGTTCCTAACATAATATAGATCATATCTGCAGCATTTTGATCGGACAGGTTGATAAAAAGGCACATTCAAATGTTGACAGGTGAATGTGCACAGTCAAAGGCAA